CTAATTAGAATCGAACCTGTGACCTTCCAGTACATGGGATGACGCTCCAACCAACTGAGCCTCACAGGCCAGGGCTCTACTTTTTTCTGTTAAGTGACACTTTTAAATGTAGATTCAGAATGACACATAACTCCTTAATGACACATAACATCTTTGCTTTAACATTAATGTGGTGTGAGTAATGTTGCCTGCGTCTGCATTGTATTGCATGAATAAGCTCACTAGACACAGAACTGCAAATACACTATCATAGCTTTGCTACCTGATTTGGAAACATTAAAATATTTTTCTTTCTGTAGGGGGTGATATTTTGCTGTGTGGTTGGCAGCTATGGGAGATAGCGCACGTCCCTTTCTGCAGTGTGTGTCCATCCATGTGCTCTGTCCTGAGAGTGAGACCATGTCCCAGAATCTGTCCTTCTACCACATGCAGGGACCTGCCTCATCTCTGCTTGCACATCTCCCCTCCAGGTCTCTGAAAGGAGCTTTTGTCTGCTTCCTCAGCAGGACCAGGGCCTACTCAGCTGCAGTCAGAGCTTCCTCCCCAGAATGCCATCAGAGCAGCTGCCTGGCCAAACAGCACCAGGCCTCTCTCCCCACCCCTCCTCCCTTCCCCTCCCCTCCTCCTTCTTCCCAGGGACTCATAATATAATGGCCACTGGGGAGTATCCTTTCCAGACCTACAGTCTAATTTTAGTTTTCTTTCTTGGTCCCTAAAGGAAACTGAAAGCCAGCACACAATGCCACAGTGATTTCAAACAGCTAAATAGATGGCCCTGAAAAACGAATCAGACATTTGCTTCCTTCATAGAAGTCACATTAGTCATCACTGGTGCTCTGCAACCATCTTATCTATCAACAACCGAATCTAAAAAACAAAGTCAACGAACAAGCAGAACAGACACGGACTCATAGACACAGAGGACATTTTCAGGGTTGCCAGATGGGAGGGGGTTTGGGGGCGATGGGCGAAAAAAGGTGAAGGGATTAAGAAGTGCAAATTGGTTGCTACAGAATAGTCAAGGGGAGGTCAAGTGCAGCATGAGGAATACAGTCCGTAATATTCTAATAACTATGTGTGGTGTCAGACGGGGATGAGATTCACCCGGATGATCACTTAGCAAGTTGCAGAATGTGTCATCTCTGGCGTGTACACCTGATATTGATTGCCAACTATAACTGAAAAACAAAAAATGATTTAAAAAAGAATTAACAAGAAAAGGAACACGCCAAGGCTGCTATTCTAACGGGTAGTTTCTCTCCTTTCAAAGTTTAAGTATTTCTCCTTCAATGAATTCACTCTCAGACGTTTTCTCCAGTCTTAGTAAGACTAACGATTTGTGCTTTTAAGTAGGAATGTTCACATTTCATGGACCTTTCTGCATAAGTGTTTTTCCAGTTGTCTTTTATACAGTTGTTGTGATTCATGTATATCTGTGTTGGAGAATAAAGTTCAAACTCATCTTCACTGTTTGGAAACAGTGATTATACATATTTTCCCCTCAACTGAAAAATGGGTGCTTCAACAGACTCTTCTTCAGTGCCCATGGAACTGTTGTGTTTATTTTAAATATACAGGATCACTTGAGCTTTCATAAGTGTCCCTTTTGTGTTCTAGGAATGCTTTTGAATGAAAAAGAACAGCTATAATTTTTCTGTCCCGATACACTTCTTTTCTCATTCAGGGATTTTCATCTAAATGTAAAAGAATGGGACCTAATGCTAATAAGTCATTGAATAAAGCTTGCAGTTAATTACTAGAAAACAAAGCAGCTTGCAATGTTTTCACCTCCAAGTCAATATAGCGTGGTGCATATTTTAAATATGATTTATTTTCAGCCTCCTGTCAACCTTGTTTAATCTTCCTGTAGCTCTGCTTTCAGTCTCCAGAGACTGGAAATCTTTTTAAAGAGATTTATTAACTGGTCCCTTCAGCTCCTCTTATGTCCGCTTGTCTAGTGCTGCCCTCTGCTGACTATTTCTTGAATTACATTCCATAGATGTTTACAGTTTTGCCTGAACGGGAAGGAAAATAAAACAACAATTTTTAAAGTGTATACCTTAGAGTTGGTTTTATCTATATCTTTATTTTCAGCGGGCAAATAAAATCTGAAGTCCAGAAAAATATTTCACTCTAGAACACTCCAGGGGATAGAAATATTCCTCCTGATTCAGGCATTCAGGTGTGTGTACCTCATATCAACCAGCTGCCTAGATCTGGTTCCTGGTTGGGCTGAATGGAGGTGGCAGAGAGGAATTGGGCCCTTCAGAGAAAGATTTTCCTTATGGCATGCTCCCTTTTCTTTTCCCTTTTAGAAAATAACCTTTCATCTCTAGGTACCAGTCTTACTGGGAGGCCTCTGAACTCTTCTCTCTGGCTCTCAGGCTGAAGTCAAAATTGCTTCTTGGAGGTAACAGGCCAACGCTATCTCACACCCCTGGTAGCTTCCCTGTGGTGCTTACAGAGAGACAGAGATGAGAGAGAGAGAGAGAGAGAGAGAGAGAGAGAGAGAGAGAAAGAGAGAGACAGAGGAAAAGGGGGAGGTGAGTCAGCTTTTACTGACATTTCATTCCTATCAGTGAGTCCTGGGGCTACAGGCCTCCTCATAGCCCATCTGATCAGCGTGACACGCTGCGGGATAGAGATTTGAGTGAACGAGAAAGAGCATTTGGTGTGTGGTGGCTGCCTGGGACCTGAGAGAGCTCTAATTTGGTGTCAGCGTGAGGCGCTCTGGGGGAGGACTGGGAGAAGGCAGAAAAGTATATTGACTCTGCACCGATGTGCAAGATGCTGTTATATAATAGACATGACTTATTCTCATAATAACCCTGCTGGGAGCTGAATTGTTGTCCCTACTTAAAGAAGGAGGAACTATGGCCTAGAAAGGTTTAATAACTTCACAAGGACACACAGGATAAACGGGATTGAAATCTAGGTGGGCCTGACTGCATGGCCCAGGATCCTAGAACATCATGAGCTTGTGGAATGAGTACAAGGACCTCCCCCTGCTGGCATGGCTCGGTGGTTGAGCATCCACCTATGAACTGAGAGGTCATGGTTTGATTCCTGGTCAGGGCACACGCGGGGGATGGGGGTGGTGTGTGTATGTGTGTGTGTGTGTGTGTGTGTGTGTGTGTGCAGGCTTGCTCCCCAGTGTGGGGTGCACAGGAGGCAGCCAATCAATGATTCTCTCTCATAACTGTTGTTTCTATCTCTCTCCCTCTTTCTTCCTCTCTGAAGTCTATATATATATGATTTTTAAAAAAGAGTGCAAGGACCAGATTACAGGATGGGGTGGTGTGTGTATGTGTATGTGTGTGTGTGTGTGTGTGTGTGTGCAGGCTTGCTCCCCAGTGTGGGGTGCACAGGAGGCAGCCAATCAATGATTCTCTCTCATAACTGTTGTTTCTATCTCTCTCCCTCTTTCTTCCTCTCTGAAGTCTATATATATATGATTTTTAAAAAAGAGTGCAAGGACCAGATTACAGGATTACAGGCTTGGGGTGGAAGGGGCATTCTGGTTCAGTGATTGACTGAATTAATTCTGGATGGTGCTATGGACTCAGTGCATGGGTGCTTTCCTGAATGATGCTGCTCTGCCCAAGAATTCAGGCTACAGGTGGGGCAGGAAGGGGCAGTGGGGGGCGGCACCACCGTGCTGGGTCTCAGCACACCTGAGGACTCTGGGAGACCCTAGGCAGGTTTTTACCCATAATAGAAAAGATAGACACGTAAGGAATATCCCAAGCAGAACAGAACAGCACAGAACAGCAGAACGGAGCAGAGTAGAACATCACTAATGCTTTGCTGGAAATTGCTTGTCTCCTTTTTGGTTTGCCTAAGAGAGGCATTATGGACAATTCTGGGAAGCAGAAAGCACGGGGAGGACCTACTATCCTGATCGTGGAATATATCCTTTGCAGAGGGAGAGAAGGGAGTAGCAAGGCGGGGTAGGGGTTTTAACTGTATTTGTAAATTTCACTTTTTTAAAAAAAATATATTTTTATTGATTTCAGTGAGGAAGGGAGAGGGCGAGAGAGATAGAAACATCAATGATGAGAGAGAATCATTGATTGGCTGCCTCCCCCCCGCCCCCCAGCCCCCACTGGGAATCAAGCCTGCAACCTGGGTATGTGTCCCTGACTAGAATCAAACCTGGGACCCTTTAGTCCACAGGCTAACGCTCTATCCACTGAGCTAAATCGGCTAGGGCGTAAATTTTATTCTTTAAAAATATAGAAATAGCTGAAGACACTTGTTAAATCTGCATGATGAGTCTATAAATGCCGGTATAATGTTTTTTTATAGTTTCCTATTTGAAATAGTTCATAGTTAAACATGAAAACAGTACAACAGGGACGCAGTGTGAGGAAAGCCCCTCACGAGGGCTGTCAAGCTTCAAAGCGGGTCAGGGGTCCCACTTCACTTCACACACTGGGCAGCACTGAAAGGTTTGCTCAACCAGAAGCAACACACAGCCTGTGCATAGCCCGTGAAGCTCATCCTTCATGGGGTGTTCTTGCCTCCAAGGTATCTCTCATGTGTGAGATTACAAACTCCGACAGCAACCAGAGGTGTATGTAAAATATTCTTTTCCATAAACGGCCAGAGGGCGGAAGTAAGATTAAAGTCATACAAACTTATGGAGTAACAAAGAGTCTTTCACGAAAGCCATGAAATTTAGTTGGAAGAGTTCCACAGCCTCGGACAGGCCTTTTATGGGTTGAAAACGATATATTCTGGGAAAGGAAATATAACCGGGCCACAGTCAACATTTTTTCCATCCTTCCTATGACTTAAAGCACATTTTTATACATGATCTCCATTGAGGATCACAACTGCTCTGAGGAGGAGCAGAAACAAAGAAGGGAAATGATTCACTCACCTACAGAACCACGGCCTCCCCCAGGCCCCACACAGCCCCTCCGGAGGTTCCTTCCCATTGTGTCCCCCCGTGCCTGCCTCGGCCCCTAACCCACGGCTTCTGGGAGCCGGCATACCTGCTCATGAGACCATGTCCTTTCAGAGCCATCCTTGACGCAGATGTCCAGCCTGAGCTCGGTTCCCGTGGCTCCATGCTTGCTGTCCACACAGAGATTAGCTGCCACGTTTCGAATCTGTGGAAAGGAGGAGGAGTGAGCATGAGGCCCTTTTATATTTTACCTCTAGCTCTATGGTATCTATGACAATTCTGGCACAGACTCAGCAGTTGGTGTGTGTGTGTGTGTGTGTGTGTGTGTGTGAGAGAGAGAGAGAGAGAGAGGTTTCATGATTATTGAATGATGCTTCAAATTTATGTGTAATTTATGGAGAAAACAGGGAAGTAAAAATAACATGGTCCAGTCTACATGTAAAATGACACGAGAAGGTTGAAGAGCAAGCTGTGGCTGACTCCAGCAAAAGACTGTGTGACATGCAACACAGGGAGCACTGTAGAGTTCATGACTTTTCTAAAATGGGAGATACATCTTCTTCAGGAGGTTAGGAATTCAGTTAGGAATCTGTTATCTTCTTGCTCACAAGCATCTTCTACCATTTGCACCCTAGCTGGGGGTGAGATCCCCAATGAGGCAGGTGATGCAGGTAAAGTGTGAGGTGAAAGAGAGTGAATCGGTGAGCACTGTATGGTTCTGGGCAGGACAAGGCGACCTTGACATTATAGTTTGCCTGGGGTGGTCTTGGTCTAGTGCAGGGGTGGGCAAACTCTTTGACTCGAGAGCCACAATGGGTTCTTAAACTGGACCGGAGGGCCGGAACAAAAGCATGGATGGAGTGTTTGTGTGAACTAATATAAATCCAAAGTAAACATCATTACATAAAAGGGTACTGTAAAAAAAAAGTTTTTTTTTTTTTTTTTTTTTTTTTTTTAGTTTTATTCATTTCAAATGGGCCGGATCCAGCCCGCGGGCCGTAGTTTGCCCACGGCTGCTCTATACCTATACCTGGCTGACAAATGTAACCTGTCACCCGACAGCATTAGCAAAGTAGCAAAGAGCATTATTGGTGCAATACTATACCGGACAAAGATTCTCTATGTAAAGTCTGACCTGTGACAAGTTGCAGAATTAAAAAAAGACTGATAACTGATAGTTCTTTACAATTATTACATTGACACTGATAGAAGGAACTGAATTGTTAGTGGTGGGAAAAGGGCGGACTATGAAAAGTATCAAAAGCAGAAACAGGATCTGAGAGTTTGGACATAGACACATCCCTTTGTCCAATCTTCCTGCCTGAAGATCTCACCAGTTCTGTTCCCAGCAGACCCACATCCTGGAGTCACAGAGTTGGATATTGTTTATAGTTGTTGTTTAGGTACGCAGGCGTGGATAAGCTCAAGTAGCTGAATCCTTTTTATGCCTTTGTATAGTCCTGGATTAAAATAACCCCTTTAGATGCTGTGAAGAATAGGAACAGGAACAGGATGTACTCCGCTGGTCAGCTTAGTCAAGGTTCTTTTGCCCAGAACGAGTAGAGAAGGTAAGGACTGTGCCCACAACCGAAGATGCCTGCCCTCGGCCTATTCTGCTTGGGTGGGGCAGTGAGGCGGAGAAAAGGTTGTAAGGAAATATACTGGGAGACATGAGAGGAATAAAGGATGCTGGGGTGAGGTGGGATGAGGGGGCTATTTCACATCTCACTTGCTTTAGGAGTGGGGGTTGGTGTGATGTCATTCAGGAGGGAGTCAGTGTGGTGGGTACCAGTTTCCTTATTCAGGGAATTGGGCCACAGCTTGGGTTCATCGTGTATTAGTGGAGCTCTACTTTCTGGGTCTCTGTTCCTGATCAAAGGGAATCTGAAATAATGTAGGGGCAACGGGTCTTTTTTAAAAAATATATTTCTATTGATTTCAGAGAGGAAGGGAGAGGGAGAAAGAGAAACATCAGTGATGAGAGAGAATCATTGACCGGCTGCCTCATGCTCGCCCCCTATTAGGGATCAAGCCTGCAATCCAGGCATGTGCCTTGACTGGGAATTTAACTGGTGACCTCCTGGTTCAAAGGTCAATGTTCAACCACTAAACCACATCTGGCAGGGCTTTTCCAGATTTTTTGAGATGTAATTTCTCCAGCCGCCTGACCTGGCAGCCACCTGACAGGAGCCCTGGCAGGCCGGTCTTTTCATTCTTGGGCCATTTAACTCACAGACACTCTTCTTAGAGAACCTGCATTCATTGCTGCCAAAGACATCTTCAGGGCACGACTGTGTCCTCCGCTCGCGCCCAGGAGCTCTGAATGGCATTTTGGGAAAAAGCAGCTATTGCCAGACGATGGTGGCTTGGCCATCGGGGAGGAATCTGCTCCCCTCTGTGGGCTGGCCTGGTGCTCGCTCACGGGAGGGGCTTGCTCTTGGAGAAGCGATGTGGGGGAGAAAAGGACACGCAGGAGCCAGCGACACCGACTGGCAGCTCGGCCAAATCTGCCCCTGGATTCACGCCGACGCCTCCCAGGGAGCTGTGTTCTGTTTCTAAATCTAAATACTGCGACTCGGAAGGGCCTCGCAGGAATGGAGGAGGCCCATTTTCCAAATTCTCACTCGATTGGCACCTGTGTAGACAACGGGATAAACCTCTCTGGAAGCCAAGTTTCAAAGGCGTAATTGTCTACATCTGTGTGAATTCCAGAAGCCGGCGGTGCCAGAGAGGAAATGCTGAGCGTGCAACACCGGCTCCAGTCTTGGCCACCGGATGAATGAATGTCAGGCACTCCTCGTTTGCTTCTCTCCCTTTTCTTTTTCTTTCCAACTCTTCAGCACACGTTGACATCCTCTCCTCTTGCTCACAAATTCCACTCCATCTTAATAAACAGGTGGAAAAAATTCCAATAGAACTGATTCTAATACATGTTTACTCACGTGAAAAAAGTGTTAAAAAGATGTAGACCAGGACATTTAGAAACGATGTGTACTTTTTCAATGCAGGTTTGGTATCTGTGGCTGAAGGGCGAACAGTTCACACACACACACACACACACACACACACGTCCAGGACACAGAGCTGACTGGATCTGTGACAGGATAGATCCTTTTCAGCCTTTATTTCTTTGATCAGGACTTGGCATCATTAAAACTGTGTCTCTCTTGAGAGAGATTGAACATGATTGGGAAGTAAGCTAGTGCTTCACCAGGAATGGGAGGGAAGTGG